AATGTTGGGTCATATGTTTGTGAAAACTTTCAGATGAGTGCGTAAACCGGAAGTTCGTATACCCCTTTCAGCGCGGTATCAAATGACATGTGTAAAACACAGCAAAATTATGGACACGACTAAAACAATTTATCTTTGAAAAAACGTCTTAAAATCGATTCTCAATAATTAGAACGGTAAAATATGGACATGACAGTCATACCTATAAATAACTTTTACAATACTGCCTATCCGTCAGCGCCTGGTAATGTGTCTTTATGACGTAACTCTTCAGGGATGACTTGTCTTCAGGTGAAAGGGAGATACTATCTCTTTTTCCAACGCCATGCTTTCAGCGTAACAACTGTCTGTTATACATTGTTTATGGAGGAAATGAGAATTCTAAATATTGGTATTGATCCCTCTCTACTTCCGTGTAGACAGAACATGATGCTGCTGATCATGTGATTGTATACAGGTTATTTTGTTGTTGTTATGGCATTAGTGTGTATTACTGCATATATGATAGCAATAAGCAAACGTTTTTAAAGTTTAATATTCCATATTTACAATTTCGTTGGATATACATGAAGCTTTCTAAATCACTTTCTGAAATTAATCGCACTGCAATTTAGACATCGTTTATTTTAATTAGGTTTGATTAGTATTACCTTGACTATCAAACCTTTAGGATCATTCCCAACTTGTGGTCCACATGTTGTTGTTTTCTAGGGTAGAGTGACCTAGATCCAAATATAAGAGCCATGACGTAGGATAAGCAAAATAACAGTTAGAGGGGGATAACTCTTCCGTTGTTAATATAACTTGGCCGCATTAGAACACTTTAATGCAAGCCTATGGTGGCTGATTTGTGCCATATCGTCTAGAACCAGCTTCATCTGTTTACATTCAAACGAATCAACTACCTTTATAAACATTCTTATTGTAAGAAATGGTCTTTTGAGTCTGTAGAGTTCTACTTGTAAACATTTCGTACTGTACTACTAATATACCATAGGACGATTAGACTGATCCCCTCTGGCACGTGTTGTTCTTGTTTATTCAATTCGTTGTAGGCTTATTTCACGCCATACAGCCACGAGATCGTGTCAAAATCTGATGTTCAAAAGGAACAGTACTGGTGTCCTAAACGTGGCAATCTAAGGTTCCTCTCTGGATACACCATCGTCGAACTGTCGATACCCTTGTACAGCAGATATGTGCCTCGAAAGAGCGGAAGCTTGGAGTTCGAGAAAGGCCGACTTTAGATAGAGACTACCCGAATGGCAAGTCACACATACTTACGACCCCAAGTAAACATCGGTATCGAGATATGAAAGCTAAATATATTGAACTAGATATTCAGTTATTAAAATGATTATTGCTTTGTTTGTTATAAGGCATTTTCTTATCAAACTGAATGCTAGGAAATGACACCTTATTATATAGTTAATTGATATGTCTGGGTCTTGTAGAGTTAAACCTCTTTGGTATTAGTAGTTAAAAGGTATAACGGGCCCAAATCAAGATGTTTGTTGCCAGTCGACACCACAACAATCATAGTAAAATACAAAGATCAAACTATTTCAACTGTATGTACGTGTACATGTGGAATCGGGGCTGTGTGCCTAACTTGTCCTTTCGTAACATGAAGTATTTCATAATGAGCTTGATCTTTCATAAATACTTTCTATGTTTATAATGTTTATAGCTTGTCAAACTCATTTATAACAATATCAGTTGTACACTATATAAAGCTTATTGTATTGACATGTATATGCCGTGGAATTATTTTGCCGAGATATTTGATGATAATTTATGTGGTTTCGACTGGCCACACCTATGTTTACAACTAGTAAAGGAAGTTTGGTTATAGACAGATTGTCATGTTTTAATATCGATGACTTATCATTAAGACATTAACATTAACGCTTTCCTTCAGACTTCAATAAATTTGAGATGCATTATATTAGTAAATCAAGTTCAAGTTCAATATATTCATTTTACGTGCATCAACACCGGTATTTAATTAGGAAATGTTCAATAAGAGGGCTAAGTGAACCTTAATAACAGCGTCATTGATTAGCTAATTCATTATTGATCCCGTTAATTAAGGTGGTCATAATGACAGCGAAGGCGAGGTCCAATTACATCATAAACAGACCAAGAAGCTTAATACCTGACGCGTGGATTAACTCTAATAATAACTTTGTATAACATTGAGAAAATTGAAATGATTATTAGAGATTTTAAATATGAAAACATGCATTTGTTAAAAATATGGAAAAATCAGAATAAGAAATATAATGATAAACTAGAAATGTGTCCCTAAACCATCGACCATAAACAGGTGGAGGTGTGTTTGTAGCGATACACACCGACCTAGTATCGAATGAACTCCCTTCTCTAGTAACAGAATGTGAAATTGAATGCGTAAAAATCAAAATTAAAAAACAACAAAGATTTATATGTATCATCATTTTACATGCCACACAGGAACATGAAATACCTCTCTAAACTGTCGGATTCGCTTTCCGCAATGGATAAAATCAAGGCCAAGCATATCGTCATAGCTGGTGATTTCAATTGTCCGAATATTGACTGGTCAACCAACACTGTGGGTCAGGGTGCACCAGACCTTGAGGTACAACAAAATCTAATTGACATAATGGCAGAACGCGAACTAGTTCAGGTACACCATCAACCCACCAGAGGGGAAACTTACTTGATCTTGTCTTCACAATAAATGCCTCGTCAATAAAAAAAACTCCTCCAATATTCCAGGTATTTCGGAACATGATATTATTGTCACTGACTCTTTAATTAAACCCGTCTACAATAAACAAAAACCGAAGAAGTGTTATTTATATTCTTAAGCAAACTGGGAAAACATTCAAAAAGACATAGGTAATATTCGGAAAGATATGGAAGAAAATTTGGACCGACATCTTGATATAGATCAGTTGTGGGAAGTTTTAATGGACAAATCAAAGTCTTCCGTAGAAGAGCACGTACCATCCAAAGTGTTTAGAAATAGGAACTCTCTTCCATGGATTACCAGACCACTAAAAAAATGCTAAGGAAGAAATCGAGGCTATACAACCAAGCCAAAAAAACCAAACAGTGGTCAGAATTTAGAAAAAATCAACGTGAGTGCAAAAAAACAACATTTCGGAAAGCTGAATGGGGTAATATTAATAATATTATAACGGAAGGGCTCCAAAAGAAAATCTTTTTTGGAAATACATGAAAAGTAAAAAACAGGAGAACATCGGTATCGCGCCCCTGAAATCCAAGGGTTCACTGACAAACGACAGTAGCGAAAAAGTCAACCTACTGAACAATCAGTTTAAGTCTGTATTTACAAAACAACATTCCCACAGACTGAGTCAACCACACCAGAGTGACCTCCCCTACTAGTGAGTGAGCCTGGTGTCAAAAAACTTCTTCAGGCCATAAATCCATCCAAAGCCGTGGGACCGGATCTCATTCCTAACATTGTACTAAAAACGTGTGCGGAGCAAATTTCCCCGATACTTACTTTAATTTTTCAAAAATCGTTGGACTTCCAACTGACTGGCGCCGGGCCAACGTGGCACCCGTATTTAAGAAAGGTGATGTCCACTGCGCCGAAAATTATCGTCCAGTTTCTCTTACCTCAGTGTCGTGCAAACGTTTAGAACATACTATTTGTAAACATATAATGAATCATCTGGAATCAAATAACATCCTAACTAAATTGAACCACGGTTTTCGAGCTGGCTATTCATGTGACACTCAACTGGTACTGACTATGAACGATCTTTTCACATCTTTCAACCAGGGGACCCAAATCGACATCGCAATTTTAGACTTTTCAAAAGCTTTTGACACCGTCCCAAATGACACATTATTACACAAACTTTCAAACTACGGAATTCGAGGAAATATTCTGGACTGGCTGACTTCATTTTTGTGTGACATGGATATGCTTGTGGAAGTGGAAGGAGAACATTCGGAATACGTCAAGGTAGATTCCGGGGTGCCCCAGGGGACGGTATTGGGCCCACTTCTCTTCCTCTGTCACATAAACGATCTGCCGGACTCGGTGTTGTCGCTTGTTCGTTTATTCGCGGATGACTGTTTGTTGTATCGGGGAATGAAAACGGCGGAAGACCATCAAATTCTACAGCGTGACCTGTACAATCTCCAGATATGGGCTAAAAAGTGGGGAATGAGGTTCAACGCCAGGAAATGTTATATCCTGAGATTCAAACAAAAATCCAACAAATTTTACACTTTAGACGACCAAATTCTACAACAAGTTAAAGAAAATCCCTACCTTGGTTTAACAATTTCGGAAGACTTAAGTTGGACTACTCAAATTTCTAAATCGACATCAAGGGCTATCTCTACACTCGGGTTCCTCAGACGGAATCTCCAACACTGTCCGAAATCTTGCAGGAAAGTGGCATATATCGCCATGGTAAGATCGGTACTGGAATATGGATCCATCGTGTGGGATCCGTACCTAGAGAAGGATATCAACAGGATTGAAAGAATACAAAGGAGAGGTGCGAGGTTCATCACGGGCGATTATAAAACAAGGGAGGAAGGGTGCGTGACAAAAATGTTAAAATACTTGGACCTTGCCCTTCTTCAGGAGAGGAGACGGAACTCCATATTAACTTTTTGTTACAAGTGTTTTTATTACAAAGTGGTTGAGGGCTTAGTTCCATATGTAGATCCCTATAGCATATTAAAACCCATTCGGAAAGGACGACAAATTCAACCGTGGAAATATCAGAACTTCATTTCGGACAATATTGTAGAAACGCGAGCAACCAATAACAGCCGTGGACTAGACATTCCAAACTTCAAAACGCCAAAATTTAAAAACTCATACTTTATCAAAACTGCAATAGACTGGAATAGTCTAAGTGATGACGACGTTGTGTGCGCGTCATCAGTAGAGAGCTTCAAGACAGCTCTCCAGGCCTGTTACTAGTCNCCCCCCCCCCCCCCCCCCCCCCCCGGTGCCTCTCGCCAGTTTATCTGGATCATCTGCGCCGTATACCATACAGATACAGTAATAGGATGAAATCAGTAATCTTACTGCAGTTTGGTGTGGTTGAAAATCCCAAGTTGGTTCCTTGCATGTGTCTACTTTTAAATGTATGTAGGGGTTTTAGGTTCACCGTGGCTCGAAGTATAAAGTCAACATATACAGCCATAGTTATACGTTTTGCCATTTTGTTTACTGAACCAGTCGTGCAAACAGCATATACGACGACATTTGTTCGATGAACATAATTATCTACGTATGATATGCCTGTTATTGTTTTTATTTATTTTGGCATTTATTTTTAGAGTTTATTTTTCATGGTGTCAGTTATGGAGCTTTCAATTCTTCCTTGATACTTGAAAAGTTAACCCTTTACAGAATGAGGTATTGCCAACAGTCAGGGGGAACTGTACACGAAATAATTGAAGCGTGATCATCACAAAAACAAATACAAATAAGAGATTAGCTAGTCCTGAAGATGACATCTTTTGAAAAAGTCTTAATGCAATAACTGATTTTTATTTAAGATAAACACTTCATGTACTTCAATCTGACATGAAAATTTGGAATGACTTATATATAGTGTCAATTTGACGTCACACTCTAAACAATTATCTAGACTAATAAAAAACAAACCCAGGTAACGCTCTGAATATATTCTAGATTAAAACGTAACTCTCTGATGCAAATATCTGAAATTAATCTAGACTAATAAACAAAATGACGTCGTTCTCTGGACATTAACGTGATACTGATTAATAATTGAATATAATAATTGTATTAACGCCAGATTATGCAATTTTATGCTTGACAAGGCGTGCAGGCTATTTTAACAATTCACATGATTCCTAACCTTGATATAAACCCCCTTTAGTAAGCCACCAACCTTGATATAAACCCCCTAAGGAAGCCACCCACCTTTATAAAAAACACTTTAGGAAGCCACCCACCTTGATATAAACCCCCTTTAATAAGCCACCCACCTTGATATAAACCCCCTTTAGTAAGCTACCAACCTTGATATAAACCCCCTTTAGTAAGCCACCCACCTTGATATAAACCCCCGTTAGTAAGCCACCACCCCTGACATAAACTCCATCTAGGAAGCCCCCCAACCTTGATATAAACCCTCTAAGGAAGTCACCCACCTTGATATAAACCCCTATACGAAGCAACCCACCTTGATATAAACCCCTATACGAAGCCACCCACCTTGATATAAACCCCCTAAGGAAGCCACCCACCTTGATATGAACCCCCTAAGGAAGCCATCCACCTTGCTATAAACCCCCTAAGGAAGCCACCAACCTTGATATAACCCCCTAAGGAAGCCACACACCTTGATATAACCCCCTAATGAAGCCACCAACCTTGATATAAACCCGCAAAGGAAGCCACTCACCTTGATATAAACCCCTAAGGAAGCCACCCACCTTGATATAAACCCCCTAAGGAAGCCACCCACCTTGATATGAACCCCCTAAGGAAGCCACCCACATCGATATGAATTTAATAAGGAAGCCACCCATCTTGATATAAACTCAATAAGGAAGCCAGCCACCTTGCTATAAACCCCCTAAGTAAGCCAGCAACCTTGCTATAAACCCCCTAAGTAAGCCAGCCACCTTGCTATAAACCCCCTAAGTAAGCCACCCACCTTGATATGAACCCCCTAAGTAAGCCACCCACCTTGCTATAAACCCCCTAAGTAAGCCAGCCATCTTGCTATAAACCCCCTAAGTAAGCCAGCCACCTTGCTATAAACTCCTTTAGGAAGCATTGGCTGCCTTGATGGACCCTCCCACCCTCAGTAAAATCAAAAACAATACAGCAGTCACACTGGTCACCACAAAAAACCAAACGAATAAAAACCAATCAAAGATGGCAGAAACCTCCGTCCAGGAGTAGCTTGGTAATGTTTCCGTGTTTTGCCCGGCCTCGTTTTGAGCAGTGTCAGCTCCATCCGATCTCTTGTTTATTACCTCAACACGATTGTCTTTTGGACAGCAGCAACACCCTCTCCAGCAGCCAAACCTTGCAAACAACCCGCCTGTCATCGACTGTAACCAGGCAGGCACGGGCTCTGCAGGGTCCGTATGGTGCATTCGGAGGACCAGCACCGACAGTCCTACCGCCAGTACGGCCATGATCAAGGTGAAGGCTAAATACACGGCTGTAAGACAACAGGAAATACGGCGATTGTTTTCATCGGCTTACAAGTTTGGTAGGTCGCCTTATATTTGAAAAGATGTCAACATATAAAGTGTACTATTTTATTTACCAAAATCTAAATTAAAAAAACAAAAACGAAATAAACTTAATTTTTATACTTTTTATTTGTATTTTTTTTTCAATATATTGAAAGATCAAACTCTGAAACTGTTTAGGATATTCAAATTAATTTTTGACCAAATCACTAAAATATCAAACATCTTGGATATATTTAGATTTTTAAAATGTTATCCATTTTACCAAAATCTATAACTGCTCTTAATAAAGACATAAACAAAATCAAATCAGTAAGAAATGTGAATTGTCCCATTAGGACGTTGTTGTAGTATACTTACAGAGGATGGACACGTTCAGAGACGTGTTAGGCATGCTGTCCGCTATCAAAGTCAGGAGCACAGCCAATGCCAGTAACACTGTCAGGGCGTACGAAACCTTCTCCCCAGAGTCAACCGGAAGTACGAAGACGAGGACAACGAGGAAGGAAGAAAGTACAACTGGAAGTATGACGTTGGTCAAGTAGAAATCGTGTCGTCGTGTGAGGACAACCACAAATTTAAGGAGCGAGAAAGTTTCAACAATGCCATTCGCTGTCGTCTCTACAATACTTGAGGTTTCTATTCTGGAGTTTGTGTAAGTCCATTCGCCATTTTCCCTGTGAACAACATATGTAAAGAAAAATGACAAAGGAGTTCTTAAGAGGTTCATCAGGGGATGTGTTTATAGTCACATTTACAGGACAACAACACAACACAGAAAACGACGCAATGATTCATTATGACGTGACCATACAACCTACAAACTTGACGCCAAAATTAACAATGCACTTTGACATCAAAATTAAAATTTTGACGCCATCATTTTCTGTGTTGTTGTCCTGTCAACGTGAATAAACACATCCCCTGATTAAGCTCTATATAGATGAACGAACTAGGGACGTACCTAGAAACGTTTTGTGTCATTTAATCTATGTATACATCCTCACGAAGAGCTGTATAGCAGCAAATGAAATCTTAAACCTACCCAAGATCTTCGACATTGACTTTATCACGTAGATGGGTGAGTTCAAGCTCTTCCTTAGTGTAAGCCCAGCTAGTGACGTCGATGGCACACTCCTGGGTATCAAAGGGGTAGTAGGTGGTGTCTATGGTACAGGAAGTGACGAATATCTGAGGCATTTCCCAGTCTACCTTCCCAGTGTCAGCCACACGGAACAATAGATTGTCGTCCTGTAGTATGGACACGTCGTCAACACTAAAAAGAAACAAACAAATTAAACCAAAAACAAAAGCAAACTAACAAGAGTCAAATACAGCAGTGAACTATATAGTATACAAAAAATAGTTAATAACAACAATGGGACGGTCAACTACAACAGGTAGATGTACAGTGTACCAAACACGACTGTCAGCTACAACAGCTAGATGTACAGTGTACCAAACACGACAGTCAACTACAACAGTTATATGTACAGTGTACCAAACACAACAGTCAACTACAACAGTTAGATGTACAGTGTACCAAACACGACAGTCAACTACAACAGGTAGATGTACAGTGTACCAAACACTACAGTCAACTACAACAGTTATATGTACAGTGTACTAAACACGACAGTCAACTACAACAGTGAGATGTACAGTGTACCAAACACGACAGTCAACTACAACCGTTAGATGTACCGTGTACCAAACACGGCAGTTAACTACAACAGTTAGGTGGACAGTGTACCAAACACGACAGTCAACTACAACAGTTAGGTGTACAGTGTACCAAACACGACAGTCAACTACAACAGTGAGATGTACCGTGTACCGAACACGACAGTCAACTACAACAGTGAGATGTACAGTATACCAAACACGACGGTCAACTACAACAGTTAGATGTACATTGTACCAAACACGACAGCCAACTACAACAGTTATATGTACATTGTACCAAACAGGACTGTCAGCTACAACAGTTACATATTCAGTGTACCAAACACGACAGTCAACTACAACAGTTAGATGTACAGTGTACCAAACACGACAGTCAACTACAACAGTTAGATGTACAGTGTACCAAACACGACAGTCAACTACAACAGTTAGATGTACAGTGTACCAAACACGACAGACAACTACAACAGTTAGATGTACAGTGTACCAAACACGACAGTCAACTACAACAGTTAGATGTACAGTGTACCAAACACGACAGTCAACTACAACAGTTAGATGTACAGTGTACCAAACACGACAGTCAACTACAACAGTTAGATGTACAGTGTACCAAACACGACAGTCAACTACAACAGTTAGATGTACAGTGTACCAAACACGACAGTCAACTACAACAGTTAGATGTACAGTGTACCAAACACGACAGTCAACTACAACAGTTAGATGTACAGTGTACCAAACACGACAGTCAACTACAACAGTTAGATGTACAGTGTACCAAACACGACAGTCAACTACAACAGTTAGATGTACAGTGTACCAAACACGACAGTCAACTACAACAGTTAGATGTACAGTGTACCAAACACGACAGTCAACTACAACAGTTAGATGTACAGTGTACCAAACACGACAGTCAACTACAACAGTTAGATGTACAGTGTACCAAACACGACAGTCAACTACAACAGTTAGATGTACAGTGTACCAAACACGACAGTCAACTACAACAGTTAGATGTACAGTGTACCAAACACGACAGTCAACTACAACAGTTAGATGTACAGTGTACCAAACACGACAGTCAACTACAACAGTTAGATGTACAGTGTACCAAACACGACAGTCAACTACAACAGTTAGATGTACAGTGTACCAAACACGACAGTCAACTACAACAGTTAGATGTACAGTGTACCAAACACGACAGTCAACTACAACAGTTAGATGTACAGTGTACCAAACACGACAGTCAACTACAACAGTTAGATGTACAGTGTACCAAACACGACAGTCAACTACAACAGTTAGATGTACAGTGTACCAAACACGACAGACAACTACAACAGTTAGATGTACAGTGTACCAAACACGACAGTCAACTACAACAGTTAGGTGTACAGTGTACCAAACACCACAGACAACTACAACAGTTAGATGTACAGTGTACCAAACACGACAGTCAACTACAACAGTTAGATGTACAGTGTACCAAACACGACAGTCAACTACAACAGTTAGATGTACAGTGTACCAAACACGACAGTCAACTACAACAGTTAGATGTACAGTGTACCAAACACCACAGTCAACTACAACAGTTAGATGTACAGTGTACCAAACACGACAGTCAACTACAACAGTTAGATGTACAGTGTACCAAACACGACAGTCAACTACAACAGTTAGGTGTACAGTGTACCAAACACGACAGTCAACTACAACAGTTAGATATTCAGTGTACCAAACACGACTGTCAACTACAACAGTGAGATATACAGTGTACCAAACACAAAAGTCAGCTACAACAGTTAGGTGTACAGTGTACAAAACACGACAATCAACTACAACAGTTAGGTGTACAGTGCACCAAACACGACAGTCAACTACAACAGTGAGATGTACAGTGTACCAAGCACGACAGTCAACTACAACAGTTAGATATTCAGTGTACCAAACACGACAATCAACTACAACAGTTAGGTGTACAGTGTACCAAACACGACAGTCAACTACAACAGTGAGATGTACAGTGTACCAAGCACGACAGTCAACTACAACAGTTAGATATTCAGTGTACCAAACACGACAGTCAACTACAACAGTTAGGTGTACAGTGTACCAAACACGACAGTCAACTACAACAGTGAGATGTACCGTGTACCGAACACGACAGTCAACTACAACAGTGAGATGTACAGTATACCAAACACGACGGTCAACTACAACAGTTAGATGTACATTGTACCAAACACGACAGCCAACTACAACAGTTATATGTACATTGTACCAAACAGGACTGTCAGCTACAACAGTTAGATATTCAGTGTACCAAACACGACAGTCAACTACAACAGTTAGGTGTACAGTGCACCAAACACGACAGTCAACTACAACAGTTAGGTGTAAAGTGTACCAAAAACGACAATCAACTGCAACAGTTAGGTGAACATTGCTAAACACGACAGTCAACTACAACAGTTAGGTGTACAGTGTACCAAACACGACAGACAACTACAACAGGTAGGTGTACAGTGTACCAAACACGACAGTCAACTACAATAGGCAGACGTACAGTGTACCAAACACGACAGTCAACTAAAACAGTTAGATGAGAAGTGTACCAAACACGACAGACAACTACAACAGTTAGATGTACAGTGTACCAAACACGACAGTCAACTAAAACAGTTAGGTGTACAGTGTACCAAACACGACAGTCAACTACAACAGGTAGGTGTACAGTGTACCAAACACGACAGTCAACTACAACAGTGAGATGTACAGTGTACCAAACACGACAGATACCTACAACAGTTAGATGTACCGTGTACCAAACACGACAGTCAACTACAACAGTTAGGTGTACAGTGCTAAACACGACAGCCAACTACAACAGGTAGATGTACAGTGTACCAAACACTACAGTCAACTACAACAGTGAGATGTACAGTGTACCAAACACGACAGACAACTACAACAGTTAGATGTACAGTGTACCAAACTCGACAGTCAACTACAACAGGTAGGTGTACCGTGTACCAAACACGACAGTCAACTACAACAGTTAGATTACAGTGTACCAAACACGACAGACAACTACAACAGTCAGATGTACAGTGTACCAAACACGACAGACAACTACAACAGTTAGATGTACAGTGTACCAAACTCGACAGTCAACTGCAACAGTCAGGTATACAACGTTCATAACACGTTTGCGTACGACCGAAAATGATTGAAATCGACCATGATGTGTGAATGATTGGCATCTGCATTATTCGCTGACGTTTTACTCACGAATTGTCGATAAACAGTTCTGGTTTCCAGATTTCTTTGTCTATAGCGTAGAAGTGGTCCACATTACTGTAAGATGCAGCAGTCCAAGTAAGCCGAGTATCCTCCCATTCCTAACTCACAGTGCATTTTTTGAGAAATGAAAAGATTTGCTTTTAATGTATAAACATATAATATCCCGAATCCCAATACCTAAAAAATCTAATATCCTTTAACTGAAGTAAAGTAACGTGGACGCATTCGGCCTAAGCATGAGAGAGAAAGGTTCAATTAACGCGAGCTGATGGATAAATTGGAGAGGTCCCGATAGGTGGACTCGGGATATTATCCACGGATGACCTGGACCCTGAAACTCTGATAATACTGTGTGTTTAACTGTTATTCGTCTATAAACCACTACTCTATATAGCTCGTCAAACTCTACTTTCAACTTAAACACTCAAATCAAGGTGTGATGTACACGAGCATTTATCAACGGCAATGAAACAACTTTACATTTGAAAACTTAGTAAACAAAATATTGCCGCTCCCTTTGTAGATTTCTGTTTAATTTTCATGCTTACTGGCACTTGTATAAAGTAGTATATAAATACCTTAAGTGCGCCTGTAACGTTAATGGCCACAATTATTACTTTTAAGGTTTTGGTTTGCTTTGTTTGTATTTTACGTCCTATTAACAGCTATAGTCATTAAAGGACGTGCCGATTTTGGTGGTGGAGGAAAACCGGAGTCACCAAAGAAAAAACACCGGCCTACGGCCAGTACCTGGCGACTGCCCGCTGTAGGCCTCGAACCCAGGATCCAGTGGTGGCGGGCTAGTGAAAAGTGGGTTGGTTCATGATATACATATTTTATAGATAACTTAATTTGAAATTAACCAATACTCCCCCTTATTTTGAATTTCATCACTTATGATTTCCAACTGTTTGGCCACTTTTCACCGTTGAGTCCTAAAAGAACGAAACAACTGTATGATGCATTGTAATTCATTTTTCTGCACATAACTTTTACCAAATATTACAGGTGTTATCGCCTTTGTGTGTGTTTATCTTCCCAGGATGAAATGTATGGATAAAGGTACTTACCACAGTGAGCCATCCTGTTACTGACATGCTCTGGTCTACCATGCTCTGCGAAAACAAACCACGTTTAGCAACATACATTCATATTTACTCATATACGTTCTATTGTTAATAAATTCCTATCAGTCGACATCTTGGATTCGCGTTTTAATTGTAAAGCTATAACAACGAAATTCAGCAAAATAATGCATTATGTCTAGGCTAAGGGGATGTTTTCCATTGGTCATTGACGGCGTAAGGCAGGAACATATAAAGAATAAGGGATATAACAAGGTAGGTGTAAAATAGAGAAGGTGTTTTATAGAGCAGACGTAATATAGAGAATTAAACTATGTTAACAAACTGTGAAGGTTAGTAACGAAGTAAGTCTTTATTGGAGGAGGGGGCCTACTCGCTACGTCTATGTTAACGGGAAAACAATGTATCTCAACTGGTGCTTGGGGAAGGAGGAGACAAAACACATAAGACCTTAATAATGTACAAGTATGTAAGGACAGAATTATAATACATAATTTGAACGGTGTTTTAAGTAATCTAGGGATGTATTAAGGAGGGTATGTTACTAACTAAATTACAGAGGATGAGGACACGACAATTAATATGTCGCTGATGAATGACTGAATATGGCGTTTCTTTCTAAGTATTTGGTCAAAGGAACTCACCAAGTCGTTGATGGATATCAGACTGATACCAACTTTAGCCGTCATTACATCAGCTGGTCTAATCAGTCTGTGATAGGTTGCAGTAGCAAACATCAGGTTGCGGAGAGTTAGTTCGTCTGTTGAAGACCATCCGTCAACGATGCTTACTTGAAATATATAAGAATTTTACTATAGACGACCAATAATATATATAAGGGGCATGACTAATATAGTTGTATCATATATTCAGTTGTCTTACCTTTGAAAAGAATGTTTTTATTTAATTGGTGGATTACTGTCACGGAGTAACATTGTAAAATGGTTGCCATTTATCGCGTAACTTTTTAAAACCTGTTTTCCCTAAACTAAGTTGATCATTCCAACTACATATAAAGTTCACATCAATTCCAACAAAGTTGTCAGAGTCATTTCCCCTACACCTTATTAAAGACGAAATGTTCACACAGCAAACTTAAAGCATTTGTCTGACGGCGACTAGGTGTAAACAACAATGTATAACTACGAAACAGGGCAGACGACAGTGCCATAACAAGAAAATCTTAAGATCTAATAAAATTTCCAAATAATGTCTTTCAAAGAAAACATAAAACATATAAAGAGGTATGGCGGAAAACTGCCCGTATTTCCCTAAGTCGGCATTTATGAAAACGGAGAAAAAAATTAAGGAGTAAAACATTTCGTGTAGCCAAAATGCATACAAAAGATACAAAACCAATTGAATATGAATTTTTAAACTGCTCAGAAATTAGGTATTGCTAATATGATACTGCAGATATAGCCATATACACTATATCTATGAAAGTGATGGGGTTTCCCGGACTTAAAAAA